ATAATAATAATAATAATAATAATAATAATAATAATAATAATAATAATGATCACGTTTGATAGGCGTGAGTGCGACCTGTACAATAATACACCCATAGGAATAATTCATACTTATTAAGCCACGGAAAAGATCTGTTGCTAGGCATACATAAATTAAAATAATAAAATGTGGCGTTAAAACGAATAACTTTTTACCTCCGTCTACATTATACGCTAAAGCTATGCACAGAAAATCTTGTTTTTTTTCTCAAAGCACAGCTTATAAAATATTTTAAGTATACGACGTTCGAATGTATAAAACTCGTTGCAGTTAAGGAGACGGAAGCGTCCGTCGATAAAACCGATGCATAAGTGATGTTTTTTGAAAATAATTACGATAATGTAACATCTAACACAAATTGGATAACTTCTTAAGATTATAAAATTTTTTTTTTGGTTTGAAGTACCTAGCAGTTGAAATCATAAATATAATTATAATAACATAAGTGATAAATTACATCGGAAATTGATTCACGATCGAACCTAAGAAAACGATTAATATTCAATAGTAGTTCAACACGGTAATTATTGTTCTTTATTTTTGTCAAATGCACCTGTTTACGAATCCACTTGTCAAAAACATAATGACGTGAAAGTCGTTTTTAGATTTTAGTCGACAATTTTTCAAAATATTCCCAACCCACACTATCTTGAGATCATTTTTGGTGAACTTAATGAAAATGCGATCAAAGAAAGCTTAATGACGCTATTGATCGAGAACAATTTCGAAAAACTGATGAACTATCGATCATTTCCTCTCTTAAATCATTTATTTTTATTAATAATTTAAATATTAATGAAGTTTAATTTGGAATGAAAGATCTATAAGCAATATTTTTTCAGATAAAATAAGTTATGAAAAGAAAATTATATGTTTGTTTTGTATTCTATAAAAAAGGGTTGGGAATAAATGTATTTCAGTTCATGGTTAAAGATTGAATATCTATACGTATCTGAATCACATGTAACGACTATGTAGTATTATAAAATATTGTGCAACAATATTATTTGTTGTAAATTCAAATTGGCACAAAATTCTATACAGTGCAATAATAACAGTTGCACCGTCGATACTGCTAATATTACAGATCGTATTATTACACGGATGATCAATCTTATCTAGAACCAATTGACAACCAATTGAGGGATTTAGTCGAAATTTAGCATGTTCACAGACTTCGAGAAAAACAAATGCACGGGCAGTTATAATACGATAGTTTAACATAAAATTAAAACCAAATAACAATAATGACAATAGCAAGGAAAACGTAGTGTTATATAAGCATTTTAAAAATGTGTGGACTACTAATTATAGAGAAAATACGTATAAACAAAGCAGGAAGGTTTTACTCCATAAGTGTATAATAATAATAATAATAATAATAATATTTAATGCTACTTTTGTTAAAATTATTGATTTTTTTTTTTTTTTTTTTTGTTAATTGTTATAAATTTAAAAAATTCAAAAAAATTTTGTTTTTTCTACATTATTTCAAATTGTCCTCTGAAAAAATCAAGAGAAAAAAACTGAATTTTATTTTAAACGAATAGGTACAAAGACCGAAATATTAATCATAATAATATGCATAATCGATCGGGTAAAATTATGTACAACATACGATTGTTCACCGTCTCTCTAGTTCATGTTTCGGTTATTTGTAAATTTCAGAAGGCGAATAAAACATTACATCCGTAAACACTTTTACCAGGCGATAAAAGACAATCTAATCCAAAACACAAATATCCTTAAACATAGACAAGAACTTCCAAATTTCATGTTATAAAAATGACGAAGATTGCTTAGCACGATTCCGGCTTGTTTCCGGAAGAGAAATTCGGAACACCTAGTTTGCAGATTGCTTGAAGTTTGGATACGTTCTTCATACGTACTATTACTCGAAACACACGCACACATACACACACACAACATACACACACACACACACACACACACACACACACACACACACACATACACACACACACACACACACACACACAAACACACACATATACACACACATACACGTACACTGGTTATACCAATGTTTTTGAACATCTTGTGTATTCATAATATTTATTTAGAAAAAAAAAAAGAAATAAAGTTATAAAACATGAATGCGCCTCCAAAGGTCAGTTCCCACCACCGGTGTACTTGTACAATACATTCGTCCCTTGCGCGTTTCTCGAATACTGTTGGTCAATGTGGTTTGAGAAAATATTAGTACCGGTTTAGCGTAGTTCTACATACCGTTTGTCGGAACACTTAATTGGTATACTTGTCAAATGTACGATAGTCGTGAAGCTTACCAACCATGGGACCCTGTCGTAAGGTAAGAGTGTATGTGTGTATTATACACATAGAGTCTATATTTGGTATGAATATTATATACTTATATATTACGTTATAAAGCAATAACATAACATTATAAAATAAAGACCAACAGAAAAAGAAACGTACAAACGCGATTATTCAGTAAAGTAATAAAACTTAATAATAATTTAAATTATGATTTGATCACGTTTGAGGCGATTGGAATAAACAAAGGGGGACACGGACGAGGACAATAGTTTAGTAATACAAATCTTAAAAATTAGTTTTGTCCGCAATCGTCCTATTACTTAGAAACCTATAAAAATGATTGAAAACATTAAAATATGTTTTACAAGAGGAGTAATACATTTTACAAGAGTATGTTATTATTTATTATACAACGATTTTACTCTCATATATTGTTTCAACGATTTCGTATTAAACTATTTAAGTACCCCTGTGCGAACGTTTATTAATAAGATAAAAATTATTACTAAAAAAAATCGTAATTTAAATTCAGTTAAATTTATATTTATTTAATCGATTATTATTATTGATTTAAATTTTATTCAATAATAATAATAATAATAATAATAATTATAATCATATATAAGTAGTATAAATATTAAATATCACACTAAAACGCTTTTAAATGTTTGAATTTTCCGGGGGGAGATTTTTCGTTGTATAAACGTTTAATACGTATTGATTATATAATTATCGTAACATAAAAGCACACAGCGTATAATGTTGGTCCAATTAAGGCAATTGAAGTTCAATGTAATAGTAGTAATAACGTAGACACTATAAATATGTTGAACAATACGTATTTACACGCATGTAATCATCGTACCGCGTTTATATTATAATATATCATAATAATTAATATATGTTTATAGACAATGAGCACGGTGCGCGCGCACGAGCACACGCGCTTAAACGGAGCTCGGTGTGCGGTCGTGGTGCGGGGCACCGTGCGATTCATTCGATTGACTTAATGTTTAATGTTTTTTTTTTTTTTTTTCCCCCAAAACGAAAAAAACCAAAAGAACCAAAACTAACGAAAAATAGAGTTTTACATGACATTTGTTTCGTTATTACGGCAATATTAATAATAATCACGTAGACGACAGTAATGATAATAACAATAATAGAAATAATAATAATAACAATAATAATAGTGAACAGTAAACACTGAGCAGCTCCGACGACGACGAAGTCGACAACCATTCGAAGAATGGTCTCTCGGTCGCGGAACACCGGTCGTCGTCGTCGCCGTCGTCGTTGCCGTTAAAAATCATTATTGTAAAAACGTTGGCGTATTATTGCGATACCGTCGTGATGGTCGTGTGTTATTATTAAAATTCCGTCTGTTTGTACTAAATGTTTACGTTGCCGCGCCAAGTGGACGACGACGACGACCTGAGCGTGGGCGACATGTACGACATGAGATGGTCGGAAGAGGTCTCCGGCGGGCTGTGCGTCAGCATGTCGGTCTGCGAGCCGAGCTGGTACGACAGCTGGTGGTGCATGTTGTGCGAGCTGGCGCCCGGGCGCAGGGCCGGGCCGCGTTGCGAAGGGCTCCGTTCGAACGACACGCTGTGCTGCCGGCGCATTGGCGGTTGCTGCTGCTGCTGCTGGTAGTGCTGCTGCTGCTGCTGCTGCTGCTGCTGCTGGTAGTGCTGCTGCTGCTGCTGCTGTTGCTGCTGCTGGTAGTGCTGCTGCTGCTGCTGCTGGTAGTGCTGCTGCTGCTGCTGCTGATGGTGATGGTGCTGTTGCTGTTGGTAATGCTGCTGCTGCTGCTGCATGTAATGCGGTTGTTGCTGCATATGGTGTGACTGTTGTTGCTGCATATGGTGTGACTGTTGTTGTTGCTGGAGATGCAGCTGTTGCTGGTGGTGCTGTTGCTGCTTATGATGATTCTGCTGCTGGTGCTGCTGGTGCTGTCTCGACTGATACCCGATCGCCGGCGGTACGTACACCATGCTGTCATGGTCGCTGAGCTCGTAGTCGTCGTACTCGGTGGTGCGCATGCGCTCCAGGCGGGGCGGCATGCGGTCCATCGATTGGTAATCTGGAAGCAAAAATTCACGGCCGAAACCGTCTCGGTTACGAAACGCATTTATAACAACGCGGCTACGCATGCTCGGCGTGCACAGGATTGGTGATGCGGGCTGTTAAGTGGAACGCATTGGTTAGGATCACCGTTACCGTGACCCCGGTAACTTTGTTTATTTTTTGGGGGAGGGGGGGGGTCACAGAAAAAGTCTTCGTTCAGTTCGCTAAGGCGATGTACGTTACCGATGGTCTTGCCTTTTGGGTTAGGAATTTCATCTCTATAGCGTGACGTAAATGCTGGGTATGGAACAATAGATTTTTATTAGGAATCGGTTTGATTTTTTTTTTTTTTTTGAACAAATCAATAATAATAATCGATCGTTTAACAATATGGTGAATGACACACACACACACACACGACTTCTCCCAGGTCTGTCTATAACCTAAAGTGTGAAACTACATTGTTCACTTGCAGGTGTACATACGAAGCATATTTACAGTACACCCATTCGAAATAGCGGTTTCGTGCTGTCAAAATTAAGTTTTAAACGACCTAGTCTTGGGTAAAAATCGCGTGACCGAAGAGCGCGTTTCGCTAATGGGAACTGTAGAAACCATGCGAATAAATACGAATCAACTATTTTCTTCTTTAAATGTTAAGGATCTTACTGAAAGCACCCCCTCCCCTCATCGTTGTTGACATTATGGACACAGCTCAAGGCAGGTGGTTAAGAATATTATTGTTGTGACAAACTGTGATTAAACTGTATGGTTTTTTTCATTAATTAATTTATTAATTATATTATCAGATTACAATTACTTGTACACCAACTACTGTGTTATTGTGTTAGTTTGATGTTAGCAATTGCAATAAGTCTTTGTTTTGTTTTAATTTTTTTTTTTTTTAGTTCGATTCTCGAATGTTCATGATGTACGCCTAAATATTACACTGTAAAATGCGTAGTCGGTTTAAAAATATGTGGTGAAATATTGTAGTGAATCACCGAGCTCGATAATCATCGAAATAGATATGTACAGTATAACGTCTGATAACACCAATAAATATCGAATTCGATGGTTCACTATACATTTGCAAACTACCGAAATGTACAGCTCAAATAATGTAGGCGTATGTAATACGTCATAAAAATTCAATTGCTTATGTTGGACAGTTTATGGGTCTTACATATATGTACTTCTATGGTGATTATAAATATAACTAAAATCAATGAAAGTTTGAGTCTGTTTGTCTGGTTATGAAGCGTTCGTTACAACTTAATGTGCAGCCAAGGAATATTATTTTAACCAAACTGACAGATACACATTTGATAGAGGTTATGAGGCATATAAGGTTTTTTTGTATAACATTAACGCATTATTCTTAGACAATTCAATTCGACCTTTGATTGAGGACATACGGTGCACTCGCCAGTAACGATGACGACTACTTCAATGGAATCACTTCGTTAACGAACTACTCGTGAAATGTTTCCATACAGTTTAGCAAATACTGACCATGTAAGTAATTTTACAATAAGTAAAATTAAATTAAAATCTTAGTTTACAAAAAAATGAAAAAACCATGCGTACAAATCATCAATCCAAACTACCTCGCTACCGGCTTGCTGATTATAAATCGTCGATGAAATAATATAAATATATAATATATAACGCGTGGAAAGAAAAAAAACACCTTATGTTATTTGCCACACCAAAGATAAAAAATATCAATAAATGTTATAGCAATAGTGATGGCCAGTGTGAAGCGTGAAAATCAGAGCAAAACACAAAATGTTATCGAATATTAATAATAGTTCCTTCCACAGTTACAGATACAGGTATTTTCAAAAATTTATTTTTATTAATAACGCCTGTTATTACAAATGAAATGATAATATATTGAAACATGTTTCCTTTGTTTTTACGATGTAGCTTAATCCAGTATCACAAATTTAATCTGAAAGGTAAACTTTAAGTCATCACTGTAATAGTATTCTGAATGATTGACCAAAGATTATTTTAACTCTGCTTCCTAAGATTTTTCCGAATTCATATACTTGCAAAACTTGACCATTAGTGGGAAGTCTGCGTGTAATTCAACTTCGAAGTATAATCAACTAAAACAATACACGTAAGGTTTAAAAGCGAAATAAAAACACCGCAAAGGAATAATATAGGTTTAACAGTTATGTAGTACATATTATAACTAGTATTATTGGTCGAGATTATTAGAGATCGAAAATAGTTAAAAAAATTAATAGTTATACAAGGATTCGTAGATATTTATTAGTGTGCAATGTGCAGTGCAGAAAACAAAAGAGACGGTGGAATCTGATCTAAATGAAGATCCCGAGGAAAAATGTAAGAAGTTCAAAACATTGTTAGAATTAAATTATTGTCAGCACATCAGTCCAACTCGATACGAGTGAGTTACATTCCAGGTGGTTTCAACCATTTATGCACGTTTATTACCTACCTGTCGAATTCAAAACGATCAACCTGTATACTATACTTTATATATATATTCCTGTTTTTCATTTCACATGGAAATGTTAATCCTTTATATTATAATTCGTGTCGCGGCACAAGAGTGGCCATACTGTCGAACCAACTCACAGGGTGTGTTTGTGTGTGTGTTTGTGTGCGCGCAGTGACGTGAACGCTCATTAGTTCATTTATTTTTTCTTTGTTGTAGTTTGTTACGTTTTAATATTAGTTGTTAGTTATGTAAATTGGAACTAATAAAGAAAATAATATTAGTTAATAGAAATATGTCGTTTATAGTACGTGATCGTACAATAGACTTTCCGTTGTAATATTTCGTTAAAATAACAATACGATTTGCTGTGGCGATGTTGAACTTTGTACGATAGTATAGGAGTACATGAAATATTGGCCACGTAATAAATGGGTCAAAAAATATAGCCAAGTATTACAATTAAATAAAGAAAAATAGGCCAAGCAATATTGAATCGGAAAAAATAACAAAACCGGTAAAAAAGTTAAAGAAGCTTAGATAAATTATTTATTTAGATGGTTTTTTTTTTTACATAATATATTTTTTTTTCCAAATTTTATTTTTATTTTTGAATAAAATTTGATTTCGGAGATAATTATTCTGAGTGTATGGCTGTAATAATCTAAACTATATTATTTTATTTTATTATTACATATTAAATAGTGTTGTTCGACAGCTATAATTTAAAATAAATATTAAATTTGATTTTAGATTCTGAGTGAAGGAAACATGCTCGAGGGTGTATTTGTTTTATAACGATATTTTTGTTTTTTTTATTTTTCTGTGATCAAATTTCCCGATCTTAAATATCTTCAACAAAATTCTCATGTATTTACTTAGGAAATATTATACTTTGATTTTATTAGAGGTTTTTTCAATATCAGTAAAGACAGTTGATAGAACACTCGTGAATAATGTATTAAACTTCTTCCGGTGAGCGTTTATTAGAAACAAGATGCGTTTTGTTTAATATACAGCGTTCACTCTAAGATATTTTAATCATCTACGATTGTTGAAAATTGGTGATTTTAACTACGTCAATTTTATTGTAAAGGATTTTGAAATATAGTAAATTTGGCTTTTACGCAGCTAAAACCATTAAAAGTCTCAAAAAATAAATAGAGACATTTAATGAATTTAAATCTTTGAATTTTCCTTATTTTTGATCTGGAATAGCTATTGACAATTTTTTATGTCTGATACATATTCCTCAGTCCTTTTTTTCAGTTAATTTTTTCTGAGACTATTTTTATCAATTATCGTTTTGCAGGTATATCGTACACACACATGACATAATGTTATATCGAATCGTCGGGAAGCACGCCAATCCGCGTTCCGTCCGGTCTGCATACAAATAATAATTAATCAATTTACGAATTCCATTTTTACACTGACATCCGAACAACTATTTATTTCTTACATACCGTCGCATCCGCCAAAGCCTGTCGGAACGGGAAAAGTATGTAGTCGTTCGTTATAAGCGTGCAAACCGTAAGATGCCAAATTATTAATTTATCAGAGTTCATAGATGCTGTACAAATCCATATTATTACACACGAATATTTTTTCAAGTGAATGGGCTGTGCTAGATATTTTAGATTCTTCATTATACAATTTTTAAACAATATCGGATTTTAAAACGGAAACCTATGTTTTAATTTTCTGAATATTTTTATTACATATAAATCTAAATACAGCTCGATTTACTCGATAAAAATTGTTCTGTACCTATAATATGCATAAAATTTATGTACGAGATTTTATGATCCCGTAGAAAAATTTGACGAGGCAAGAGGATTAATAGGATAGTAGGAAGTAGTATTTTCAATCTAAATGACTAATTCACAAATTTATATAATACAATAAAGCAAAATCAAACACTTTTGATAATACATCAGTTTTTTTTTATTCTACAAAGCGTTTATAAACACAGCGTTCGATACAATACGAAACAACGTGAAATACTTAGTAGAAACTGTTTATGACATCAAAAAGGCAATTAAAATTGTTAAATTACATTTTTAACAAAAATAGACGAATTGAGTTTATTAATTTGAACCAACTGTCACATACACGAAGTGCCTGCTTAGAGAGTTGTTAAGTTTTAATTTTTCTTCTACTTGTCATCAGTGTAATCGTTATTAAAATTTTATGAATCAAAAGCTCTAACGAAAAACCGCACAATTCTAAAATCCGATTGTTCGTGACGCGTCCAGTCATAAACAGTTTTTACCCCGTATACGTCGCTCGTTTATAATATACTATTGTATTTATACGGAGATACACAATCCCGCAAATACCTTTTTATTCAAACGATTCCGCACAAAACTAATTAGCGAAGTTGCCGATTTTATTTTTGATTACTAATTACATCAACACTAATATTTCTTTGTGTGTACACATAGATGATTTAAATAGTTACTTATACTTTTTATAGGACAACTAATGGTGCTGAAAGCTTTTATCGCATACATAACGACCAATTTTTTCACCCACACCGCCATATTTATTTAATTATAAAATTATTGATGAGATTTCAGTCGGAAACCGAGACTAAAATCAGATCGATTACATTATTTAATGATCAGAAAATGTTAAATGCAAAAAAAAAAACAATAATGTATGAAATCCACCATTAATGTATACAATCAGTATAAATTTAATTGATGTACAATTTTTATCGCAAATTGGTCCTGAATATCAAGGGAGAAAATTATAATTAATCACTCATTTTAATATATATATATATAAATACGTAAAAATCGAACACCAAATAAAACAAATAAATCGGAATAAACTTATCTATACAGGTATTTTATTTTTAGTCATTCGTTTTATTTAACATATTCATTTTTTTTTTTATCATAACTGACTGTGTAGCAACAATTTTTATGGATAATAATAGGAAAAAAAAAAATCTCCTGTACTGCGAAAATACGCGGAATCGGGTCGATAAAAAGGGCCGTAAAGCATTTGCGCATCGTCTGTTTACCTAAATTAAAATATCGTACATCATATGCACATTAACATACCGAACGAATAGAAGGGTGTAAAATAATATATAGACACACGTTTTTGTTAAACAAGTATTTAAAAACTATACAATTAATACAAATTATTCTGTTGTTAAAAATTTAAGATTTAAATAATTTATTATAAATTTGATTAAAAATGAATTGAAAAAAAAAAAATGTGTTCTTTCAGTCAAGCAAATTATAGTTATAGTTAAATACAAAATATATGAGATAGGATAAATATGATATAGTTTGAGTAAAAATGAATCGATAGTAAACATAAATAAATACATTAAGCATTAAAAATATTGTTATGTACCGTTATTTTTACAAAATTAAACCTAATCGTTCAGTTCTATTGTTGGATAATATTGATGCACAAACTATGTATGATATTTTAATCGGTAAACGCGCGCAAACGATGTACAACGCGAAAATTGAACGATGCGCAAATGTCTTGCGAAAAAGGTCAAAGAAAAATGAACAATAGTAATGTGCAAAGGAAAACCGGCGATAAAAAGGTACACCGTGCGGAATCATTGTGTCTCCGCGGTGTCCCCCCCCCCGCGGTCTATACGCACGACGCGCGTACGACTCTCTACTCGTACCGCTGGAGCCGCACGACGGGGCTGGTGAGCACGTTAATGCTGGACACCAGCGAGCACGACAGTTGCCACTCACCTGACGACTGGTAACTGTTCATCATGGACGACATGATCGGCATGTCCATGCTCGGCGAGCTCCTGATCGGTCTGGCCAGCAGCTGCGGCTCGTTGGGGTCGGGCGTGACGGGCGGGTGCGTGGCGCGCCAGTACGCCTCCAAGTATTCGGATATGTGCTCGCACGCCTCCTCCAGCTGGTTCTCGTCCAGTATCACGTCGAACATCTCCGGCGGGCACTGGGCCAGTTTCTCGGACGCCACCATTTGCACGTTCAGGTGCCGGGTCTGCGATTTGCCCCGGGATTTGATCAGCCGCTGGAGCACCTGCGGGGCACGCGAAAACCACACGCGGTTGACACACACGAACGTTGTTACTGACGGGATCGTGGAGACGAAAAAAAAAAAAAACAAACGATCGAAAGAAATCGAAAGAAAAAAGAATTCCACCGTAAAACTCGGTCTCGAGCACTAACGTGAGGTTAAACCGCAACCGCGAGAGTTATGATTTTACTCGAGTTACTGTCGAGCAATCGATGTGCGTTTACGTGTTACGTCTATCCCTAGTTAAATGTTTTCCCCGGAGTTTACGAACTGTAACATTACCTATGACGGCCGTTCGCAGGGATTAGTGTAAGATGTTTTGTCGAAAAACGTGTTTACAGATCACATAGTTTATTGTGTTTCCTCGGTGTTTTTTTTTTTTTTTTTTTATTTGTAATCATTGTTTATTTTGTATACTATGTAAGAGTGGGAAATTGATATGCAATGTATAATTTTTTTTTTCTTTAAAGCTACTTGATTAGTTTTCAAAGCTCACGTAGCACAACCGAGCAATTACCGGAATCAATACAGAGCAATGAATCCGAGACACATGGTCTATTAAAGACAATATATTTGATAAAAATAAACTGTTTATGGTTCTATGAACTTGAGTAAAATCACATACTTTAGTTTTTGTCAGGATGTAATTTATTGTGACCAATGTCATTGAAACATTTTTGAAGTATTTCAAAATTTCAATAAAAGAAAAATAATAATTTAAATAATTCGGTTGTGAATTTTATTTATTATTTCTAGTTTCTATGAACGAGTTTAGTGACTAAAATATTGATTAGGAAACAAAACAAAATATTATTAAAACTTTCTCGCGAGTTCATATTTTAGCAGTATAAAAGTTCTATTTAATTCTTGCATAATCAGATGGAAACGTGTTTGACCATATAATTAAATTGTTTATATAGTTGAAGGATATTAGATGTCTCAAAAATAACACTCATGTGCTTGGCCCTTTTTTTTTTAAACTTTAAAAGAAAAATTAGGATTGTTGACGCATAAAAAAAACGTAATATATTTTAAAATAGCACTATGGTTTTGTGTTTTAAACACATTTTCTAAAGTGTATTCTATGCATAGTAGGTATATACAAAATTATAAACGTTATTACTTACTTTAGGCGACGATACTTTTAAGTACACTATGGTTGGCGCTAAAGAAGTTTTCGCTAATTGTGATGGATGATTGATCGTATCACAATCCAAAACAACAAGCTGTAAAATTGTCGTCGATATATCTCATTATTATATTAGTTGTACTGTAGTTCAACAATATTAGACTGATTTTGAGAAATTAGATGTACCTGTAGTGTACGAGCGAGTTCAAAAATCCGTTCGATTTCCTGTTGCACGTCAGCCATTATATTCGACCGCGAATTCGATCCGGGTTTACTTTCAATAATTGTTCTTTTTGAAGGATTATTGAGAAGTGACCTTTTAGCCAAGGAAATATCGGCCATTACGCGGGTTATAATGATTCTGAAAAATTAAATTAAATGGGCTTTTTTAAATTGTTTTCCCATGTCATACAATCTTAAAATACGTCGTAGGCTACATCGTATAACAAATTTTAGTTAAATTTTATATAAAATAAAAAAAAAAAAATAATAACTAACCTTCCTTCGAAACGATGTTTCAAGAAGTCGAATAAAGCTTTTTGCATCATATCTGTCACTTCATATCCTTTTAACGATGGTCCGACCAGTACAACTGGTCTCATTGATGGCACGACATCATAAGGTGGTGTGGTTTCTTGTTTTTTAAAGAAAATCTTTCGTTTGTCTTTTGCTGTCGGGGCAGTAAGCGTCGTTCTGGCAGAAATACGACCACTTCCAATAGGATCATCATCTTCTGCTACGAAAAATACCGAAATAAACAACAGTATCGTTGAAATTTATTTTGACCACTCTAGATTAAATCAATAATAAAACGACAAAAAAAAAAAAAAAAAAAATGAAAAATATCTAAATGTCTAACATAATGTACTAATTAACGTATTTTTATGGGCTCTACATTCTATGGCTCCGGATATAAAGCTCTTGCATTGATAACATAGCTCTTCAATAAGAAGAAAAACATAGCCAAATGTTATTTGTATTACTATGCAAGTCAAATATTTCATAATTAACAGTAGAATATGAATGTTATTTTTATTTTCTATGCTAATATTTTAGAGCTTCATAACTTTACAAAATCAATACATGATTAGTTTTTATAGCCGGATCCATCGAAAATTCTAACAATGCTACTATCCACCAAATAGGAAGTATTTGCAGTAATTAATAAAAGAACTTTAAGGATTGTAGAATTTTGTTTTGAGGTGCACAGTTGATGGGAAGGTGACGTAATATATGAAATGTAAAAAAATATTACAATTATTAAATTTTTATTTAGTGGTATTTTAAAATGTTTTTTAACATTTTTTAAAAAACGAATCAAGTGATCTGCGTATGTGTTGTTTGCTAATTTATATTTTATCGATTTATCATTTCATGCAAATAGCGATTTAGAAAAGAAAAGGATAATCATTGGAAAATAAACAGATCAAAACCATAAAACTATTTTAGTAGTAATAAAGATTATAATCTTAGAATACATTTGTATAGCATTAAACCTATTGTTATGAATGAGTGGCATATTCGGTATTAATTTATTTGTGTATTAATAAAATTTGAGAGTTTGTAATTTTAAAGTTAAACAGTGGATATTCATAATTCATGTTTCATAGCTTAATTCATGCCTAATAATATTTATCTATTTAATTATTAATGGCAGCTGAAACTTAAAAGTTCCAGATCTAATCATAATATTGAGACAATTTTTAAAATATCTTCACCGTTGAATAATATATTTTTATGTTTTCATGGAGTTTTAGGGTTCAAATTCATACATTTGTTTGCACAATTTCAAATAAAAGCTTCACAAGGAAATTTAAGAGATGAAAATATTTTAAAAGTGTATAATTTCCCAACCCGTCTCATAAAACAAATTTATTTTATATGCAAGTACAAGTAAATAGTTTATAAATTTTTTTAAAAAATAACATTAACTATCAATATTAGTTAGATATTCATGAAATTCGTTGAAATTCGAGGTTTTACCTATATTATTTTTTGGACATTTTATCTGTTTATATGGTGGTTGATACACGAAAATATGAGTAAAACATAGATCAGGAATTTGTTAATTTATTGTAATTTTTTAATCTCATTTAGCAAAAATTTTACGAATAACTGGTATTACGATATTAATAAAACATTTTTAAGTATAATGTTTTTTTTTCAACACGTAACTACAAAAAAAACCAGTTAATAGTTTATTATATGTAGGGTGTTTATTGATTAATATATTTATAATATTTATTATTATCCCTGTTCGTAGTCATGTATACAATTATTTGTTTTTGGGGCCCTCGAATCTCTTAGGTTTCATCAACATTTTAAGTTTGATCGTAAAATTCCTCTAAAACATCCTTTTTATTGTATTTTCGCTAACAACTTTGGAATCCATTTATTTTTAAATTTTTGCGATGCGATCGAAGAAAGAGAGATTGCAGTGAAAATTCTTTCTATGCTCAGCTTTCTTCAACTTCCCTTTTGTTCGTCAGCCAGTAACTCAATATGAGTAGTTCACCGGAATAGACAAGCTGATTGTAGACATGTTTATAATATACTTTTTTAATTATATTTTATATAATTTAATTTAATTTTGAATAATTTGATACCAATAGCGAGAAAATGGCAAGTGGGCTCCTAGAAAAATTTAGTCCCAATAGAGATGGTGAGTATAACAACTATATACTAGTTATGTGACCAGGTCGCAATAGTCGATTATGCGATAACGTACATTACATATTGCATTTGATCACTTATAACGTGTATACCTATTTAGTCTTCTGTCTACTATCGACTAGAACTTCGCATTGGTGTTTAAAGTGTTTTGCGTCATTTTAGTTTTAATATTTTTTATTGCAAGTCCATAACGAAATGAGTGAAAAAAGAAAAAAAGTGGTATTGTCAATTCAAGAGAAACTTGAATTGATTAACAATATTGAAAAGGGTACGTCGAAAAAATAAATCAGCTTGAAGTATGGAATAGGAGAAAGTACCGTTAGAGATATTTTTAAACAGAAAGATAAAATTAATGAAATTCGCGTCCGCATCAGATAACTGCTTATCAATGAAAAAAAGAAAAACCATGAAAACTAGCAATTATGAAAAATTAGATGCGGTTCTTTTACAGTGGATAAATCAAGTTAGAAGTGAGAGAACTCCTGTTTCAGAACCTATTGTTTCTGCAAAAGCAAAACAGTTTTTTGAAATGTTAGGTTTAGAAGGGAAATTTGACGCGTCATCAGGGTAGTTGACAAGGTTAAAAAAACGCCACGGAATAAAAGAAATGGGAATTCACGGCGATAAATTAAGTTGCGATGAATAGGCAGCGGAAGATTTCAAAATTAAATTTGAACAGTTTCTTCAAAAAGAGAAAATATCATATGAACAATTGTATAGCGCTGATGAGTCGGGGCTGTTCTGGAAATGTTTGCCAACACGAACACTTGCATTTGAAAGCGAGCGGCACGACCCAGGACATAAAAGCAGTAAAGAACACCTAACCATAATGACGTGCAGCAATGCGACAGGTTCTCAAAAATTAAAATTGGTAGTGATTGGTAAATCAAAAAAAACCGAGATCTTTTAAAGGGACCATAGCTGAAAACCTCCCAGTACCCTACTTTAACCAAAAAAAAGCCTGTATGAATCAAGAAATATTTAAAGAGTGGTTTGAAAAAAATTTTTTTTCCCAAGTAAGAGAACATCTCAAGTCTCAAAATTTACCTCAGAAAGCTGTATTGCTTATTGATAATGCCCCATCCCACCCAGTTGACTTGAAATCGGAAGATGGAAATATTTTTGTCAAATTTTTGACTCCTAATATCACAGCTTTCATCCAACCAATGGATCAGAGGGTAATTGCTTCTATGAAGAAAAATTATAGAAAAAGTTTGCTTGAAAAAAGAATTGAAGAGGGCCATGATCTTAAAAGTTTTTGGAAAGATTATACAATTCTTGATAGCATTTATGACATAAATACTGCTTGGAGGTTAGTTAAGCAAACTACGTTAGTCAAATCTTGGAGAAAAATTTTACCGAGTGTGGAAAATACTTTGATAGGGGAGGAAGAAAAAGAAGTCTCTGCTTTTGATTTGGCTAATTTTTCTAAATCTCTAACTAGAGGAGAGAATGTTGACGAAGAAAACATTAATGAGTGGATAAATTGTGATGCCAATGATCAAGGATTTGAGCGTCTTAGTGATGAACAAATAGTAAGTGAAGCATTAGGTACAGTTTCGGAAAGTGAAGGCGAAGAAGAAGAAAACGATGAAGTAAATAAAGTAAAGCAAGTGAGCCATGAAGCAGCTTTAAAACATGTAGACGGGATCATTAAATTTCTAGAAGAACAAGACGATACAATTCTGTGTGATAAAATGTTATTAAAAAAACTTCAATCACAAGTTAAAAAGAAGAGTTTTCAAACAAAGAAATAACAACTTGTGACTGATTTTTTTGTACATAAATAATTTCTAATTTTTATTAATTTTTCATTATACATGTACATACATGTGTATCTTTTTTAATAATACATATGTAATAATAATTTTTAATTTCAATTTCCAATTTAGTTTTTATTATAAAATTTAATTTTGCGGATTATCCGCGGAATTCGTTTATCCATGGATGTCCTGCCACCCTATTCCATGGATAATCGGGAGTAAACTATACTATCTATAGGGATTGCTATCAGGGGTGAAGAACAAATTACTTTAAACCGTAAGAGTAATGTTAAAAGTAAACTTTTAAATATAAATTTGCTCTCTACGAAATATAACTTCAAATACGCCACTGGATTATTAATGTAGTAAGATTAAATTAACAACAGTTTTTCAAAACAATTTTTTTTCTTTATAAAGAACACATGCAAAAAAAAAATATATCAAAAATGTATAAAAAAAAATACTATATTAAAATAAAATCAAACAATTCATTATTATCAAATACACAAGCTTAATATAAAGCAAACTATAAAGAAGATTATGTTTAATAATACTGTGTACTGAATAAATCGTTCTTCCCTAGATCATAATTTCTTTAATCATTAGAGTGATTAAAATTATTTCTGTAGATACTAATAAATAAAAAAAAAAAAAAAAATAGGAGAAATTATTTTGGAAGAACGAACGAAAATAACAAAATGACAAATACATTGCAACAGATCTACACCATACACAAATGATACACAAAATAATATGACATTAAAATGTATTTTGAAATTTAAAAGAAATTACAAGAGAAAAAAAATAATTTTAACTACAAGTTTATTATTATTGAAAGTAGGTAAGTACATGTTTTGTGAACGACAAGTGTTTCCATTTCTAGTTTATAGAGAGATTAGTGTGCGTTTTTTTCTCATTAAATAAAGCTTAACTACATACAGATACTACTGTGACGTGTATTAACGTGGTATACTTGTTTCAATTGATTTTCAATGACAGTGTATCTATTTTAGCTGTTTCGCCCTTCAAACGGTAGATTACGTCTAAGGAAATTAATAAGTTGTGAACATTTGTATTGATTCCAACTATAGCAGGTAATGGTATTAAATCGGAAATTACTTGTGATATTATATTATTTTTTATGAGTATACATTTAAATTTATTTTTAGGTTGGTTAGATAAATCAAATTAAACATTTATTTACTTACTCAGAGTTTAATAATATTAAACTCCAAATTCTTCTGTCGATATCTTTACTATACCAAAAATGAATATTAAATTCATACAAGTACTGTTCACACTGATCATAAATTTAAAATTTTTTTCGTTTCATAACGCACTCTGTCAAAAATAAATTATTGGAAGAAAAAAAAGAAATAGATGTATTTTAAATTATGTTTGACGAAGTAATTCATTTCAAGATTGCTTGACATGCACATTTTTTTTGTACATCTAATATTTTATTATCTCTAAATATGGTACTCGATTTTTTATTCGATAGTATAATAATTTATTTTTTATATTTACCGAGAAAATGTTTAAAAAATATGAAAAAATAATATTGTGATCGTTTGTGTTGCACACAAAACACACGCAGACAAAAAAATTTAAATCATAAATATTATTACTTTTCATAAACCAGGATAGTCAGTACATACCGGGAGTAGGAGGGGTGGAACCCCCTGAATCACCCCCCTTATTGGTAGACAGCATATCATTTATTACACCACCTAAGTTTGATGATGACGAGTTTTTGGAAGAATGATTTTTTGAGCTTCGTGATGGGTTCATCTGACGCAAGAGTTCGAGTTTGGCAGGGGATGGTATAAAACCCACATCAGAGCCCTCTTTCACCAGGCGGCCTATCCACCAGTTATTGTCATACTTCTCCTGTAATGGTTAAAAACAAAATATAATAATAACAATAATTTGTTTTCTGATTAATATTCAAATTATTTTTGTTAAAATTATAAATAAAAAACACATTAAGAATAAAAGATTTACAATAAAATAAGGTGAATAGCTATTCACCAATATTAATTATTTATTAACAATAATGACAAAGTGGGAAAGTTATAGTTAAGTACTATTTCTTTTTATATAAATTAAAAATAATCCATTATATACTGTTAAATTATTCAGTAAAATAATATTGCTAGTTAAATTCGGTTATATTATTTAATATTATGATAAAGCGGTTTCAAAACTAATTTATGAAATCATTTTTTTTTTTTGTATATTTGAAATTTATTCCTTAGATATACAAATTAATTCATGAACCTATTTATATTGATCATATTTTATTTGGGTATTCAAATGATAAAACTTTTGTAATATTGTCAAAAGTCCTTCAATAGCATAGGCTATGAGCTATGTATATTAATACATAGGTTAATAAAATTAATAGATAAAAATAGAAATAATTATATCACTACATTAAATATAATATTAAATTAATTAGATTTTTGTTTATAAAACTTTTACTGTTTGCATAAACAGTAAGAACTACAAATTTTGTTTATTATGTTATAACTTATTATTTATTTTTTATTATATTCTATAAAACAAAAACAAAGGAACTATAAATATATAATAATATATATTACATTGAATATAATTTGAATCTAAGCATAATAATAATTTATAATTTTCATACTCATAAAAATACCTAATTTTTTTTTATCTGTTATTTAATTATTTATATGGTTGATAAGTAAATGGATTATTTTAAATTTTTGTATACAATGTACAGTATCATTATCTATTACAGATTAGATCACGAACTTCGTACCGGAAGAAATTAAATTTCATTTTATCTAATTGTATTATAAGATATATACGATATAGTAAAACTAATTCATTATAAAATAAAATCGTTATATCTGAATCATCGTTGTAGCAGATATCGTTATACTCAAATAAATTTACTAATTTACTACACTTGAGATATCAATCTTATCAAATCATGGCTCGAGATCGTTTTATTTAGAATATCATTTTAGACGTAACACTAGTACATCGTAATAAGCGGATTCGACTATTTTTTAATTGTATTAGTTTAATTTTTACATAAGAAAAATATAAAAATGTATTTGCATACAATTTGTTTCATATCAATATTGTATAAGTTGTATAACAATAACAATTAGTTCACTTTTCAATTTTCAATCAATAGAAAATAGTGTAAAAACAATCATACTATTGCTGTTTTTATTTTAAGATTTACATTGAAAAAAAAAAAATAAAAACAACTTTATATAAATTTGTATTATGTTATAATAATCAGAATAAGTGGTAATTTATAAGTGAAATATTATCATAATTGGTAATGGATAATTTACCGTCAATACTCTGTTCGAAAAGAGAAAGATATCTGCTCAAACAAATTTATTTTTAAAGAAACATAAATATAGTACTATATCATAGAGACATGATCAGCAAGAGTATCAAAATTATGATCAGTGAGCATTACGAGGGTGGTAAGTATAATTTATACTTATAAAGCTTAATTTATAAAAAAAAGTAGTGAATAAAATATTAAGGATTCTTAAGAATGTCGTAAAGTTCCTTTCACAAAGTGTATATAATACATAATAGTAGTCTAAAAAAATCACAAGAACAAATTAGGTCTGAAGGCGATGTACTTGCTACGTTTAATGTAAAAGTGGATTTACGAAGCTTCTTGATCGTTGTATATTGTTATATTTTTAATTTTACCTTCATGTATAGATGTAGGTATGTATTTATAACTTTGATATTTTCATCAAAATATAATCAAAACAGATTATTCTATTTTTTTTTTTTTTTTGTGATTCATCGTTAAAAATAGGTACCTATTATATAATTTCTATGAAAGGAAAAATACATTTTTATACTTTATTCTTATAACATTTTTTCGGTATTAAATTATAGTGTTGTTATAACAGCTGAGTTTTACAAACATAAATATACACATTCAGTACTATAGGCGTATACAGACCTTTTTTTTAGGGTGTACAAAAAGATGCTGCTGCCTCCCCCTCCCACTGAAAGTTTTTTTTAAGCGTTCAAATTTCTAGCAAAAATATACACACAAATGTTTAAATAACTATTTAATTTAAAATTTTAATTTTTTCCTCAAAAAAAGTAACTGAATGGCTATTTTTTAGTTATTATAAATATCTACATAATTGAAATTTAAAATAAATTACGAAAAAAGGAAAATTAAATATATAACACCTGAAATGGTTTGATTAATATATTTAAATAGTGTAAATAAATAAAAACATAGTCATTTATACTTCAATGAATGAACAAAATAAATTTTATAAATAATCATAAATGATCGTAACGTAACTCTGCATTCAGCTGAGTTTTTAATGATCAATAATATCTTTCAGTTTTATACTGCTATTTCTTGCCCTGTAGTTAAAAGCATTAAGCTGTTTAACTTTCTTTAAGCAAAGTACTTCTTAATTTTGTTAATAGATTAAATTGTTATTACATTAGTATATAATTTGTGTTTCAAAAATAAATGAAAATGTCTAAGACTGAATATAAAAATATAATAATAATTATAATAGACTACAAAATCACATAATATAAATTTAAAGACCAAATATGTCATAATTTTTATTTATTTTTGGTACTTTAAGAATCAAGGCTATGTGTTCAGGGTAATCTGCTGCATACACGTCTATGCTCAATACTTAAATTGAGAGAAATTTACAAAGAGTTGTTAAATTCAATTTTATTTTTATTTGTTTATATAGTATCTAAGGCATAGAAATTTAAGTAGTTCAAAAAAAAGTAGTTACTATGTTTTTAAAATATAAGATAAATAAAGATAAATATAAGATGTGTAAAGACACTTAATTAAAATAACATAATTTAATAAACTTTAACTGATTAATAAATTGTGATGATATAAGTATAAAAAAAATATTATAAAACCATTTTAGTTTCAAGAAATAATAATTAAATATTTAAAAAATTAATTATTTTATTATTTAGTGGACTTATATTTCTATATAGTTAAAGATCAAATTCAAAACAATTTAGTAAAAAATTTGATTTATGGTGGAAATAAACCCATTTTCCAAGAATTAATTGTGTACATTTAATGAATTATATTTTATTAACCAGAGTACAAGTGGCTTGTTAAGTAAAAAGTTTATTCAATAATATATTCTATAACCAATGGGATATAGTCGTAATTTATGTTTTCATGATGTAAAATATTACATATTTACTATTTTTCAAATATTCAGTGAAATATACTAAAAGGAATCATTTTTGAAGTATTGAATGTCTATCGATTTTTAAAAAAAAAAAATCTTCATTTATATATTTTTATTTATTTTCCATTGGAATTATAATATTATTTTCAAAGCTCTAATTATGTAATCATTGATAATTTATGAATTATACCTATAATTGTTCATACTTTTGTATACACATACTACATTTACTATACTACATACTACATTTTATATAGAAAATTAATTAACTATTCTATAGGATGATTTTAGTTTTAAATTCATTTATAGTTAAAGTCATATAGAACAAATTTAATTGGTGGCATTAGGATTACGTTTGACGTCATTCCCATGTAATATTATTAAATTACAAGAAAACATTTAGATTTTATTATTTTCAAATTATAAAATCAAGTACATGAATCATACAACGTCATGAATGAATTATTCATTTTATAAAACTGAAATTTTTGGTTTTGGTATTGCTAATTTTTATTTGAATTTAGTGCTCGTTATTAAATTTTAAATATGTTAAAAATTTATCATTCTATCTTATTTATCTATTTATTCAAGATAAAAATTGATATTTGACGTATATTGTTAAGGGTTTTTTTCTTTATTTAACCATTAATAAATTTGTTTATTTGTATTAATGTTCTTCAGTTACTACTTTTTGAAAATGTTGATTGTAGATGTTTAGATTTTAAATAAAGTTTGATTCAATTTTTCAAACATGAAAAAATTATTGACTTAATCATTGATTTATATTTTAAATGACAAGTCAAAACCATTACATATTGATAAGATTAATAGGTACAAATAACTATTTTTCTCTAATCTAGATATTACTATTTCAATGATCATTATTATAAAACCGAATAAAACTGAGAAATTTAATAAGATAATAAAATTAGTTAAAAATAAAACTGTGAGTGAAAAAATTTAGTTTTACAGTGTGATATTGTTTATTATTTATATTTGAAAAATTAATATTTTATAACTAATTTTACAATATGGTAATTTTCCAGTCACACGAATGAGATACAAATTATATTATTTTAAATGAATACACTACTATTTGTACAAAACTAATATCTATATAGATACTAAATGTTCTTTTTAGTTGTATCATATTATATCATGCGAAGTGTAAAAAATATCAAGACTAATATAAAAATAATAATTATGACTTATTTAATCTAAATTTTGGACTAGCTGGTCCATTAGAATTTCACCGATTTCCAGCCAGTCTGTTGTTTTAAACAGAAAATAATTTTTTGTAAATATAAAATTTTTAAACATTACATTTTTATTAATTTGTTTTATAATTTAAAATAATTATGCAGTGACTTAAAAGCAAACATTTTTCTTAAAAATTACTGTTATATACTTATAAATTTAATCAATAACCACAGATATCTCTTTGAAAACAAACATACTGTAATATATATATGGTTCAGTACGATGCCATTAACAGACAATAGTTATTTGTGGTATGCAGTAATAAATAAAAAAAAAAAATGTTTATGGCTTTTTTTTATTGTTAATATATTTATGAAAGTTAGAAAAACTTAAAAAATATAATAACTGGACCGTCTTACACATTCGCTCAAAAAAGTGTGCTGTTTATAATCAAAATTGTAATAAATATAAAAATGTTTATTAACCGTTTAATTGCACATGTATTATAAAATATATTGAACATACCTTGATATGCAAAAAATCTTTAATATCAAATGTGATCGCACAACCTTGTATTGGTGAGTCATCGTCTTTTTTACCGTCGAATGCAACGTTTGTGCGAACGGCAAACGCCACCGGTTTTGTCTGAAATAAAAATTATATTATAAAATTAAAAAAACCATTATAGGTAATTTTAAACTAAAATTTAAATATAATGAGTCTAATTGAAAAGTCATATTGTTTAGTCTAAAGCACTTAGGAATGTGTATATTAATTCAATTGTGTTAATATTAACTGAGTATTTTCTTATAAGATTAAGACTCAACCAATTCAAATTAATGTAATTCCAATTGTATTCAAGTTCAATAGATAAAAATGTATTAGAAATATTGGGCGATCACCCATAACAATACGTGCATTGTTTCAAGATTTGCTAAATGTGTAGGTACTGTTTAACTCAATGTAGGTACTTACACGACTGTTAAGTAGTTGTGAACGAGCTCTGTGCTCATTTTCGCGCCGCAGCGCTTCTTTTTCAATGCCCAGAGACAGGTCCGCTGTATTTGTTATGACGTCTGAATCTTCGGATCCCTGAAATGTGAAAAAAAAAAGTTAAAAGTTATTGTATCCAGGTAAAAGTGCTAACATTCACATAAACTACCGCAAACAACTCGATTTTCCTATAAGTCATATTGATTGTAGATTGTCTTTAAAACTTATACGACTAGAAAATTATTAGAATTGATTTTATTTTTTCAAATACTCATGCGACCTTTGTAGTTGTAAGCTAAAAGCTTTATTCGAATAACCAATCACCGTGTCTTACGAGAGAGCAGTTCTGTTTCTAACAGTTTAACACCTAAGGGAAAACTAAAACGGTCTGCGGTATGAACAAATCGTGATTAAGACAGACCGTTTTGGGAATGGCTCGAAACAGATTTCTCAGAATATAGATTTCGATGATTATAAACCGTTTGAATAACATTATTTTAATTAATACGATCGCTTTATACAATATTTATTTGCGTAGGGATATTTTAAGTTATATTTAATGAAGTAATTCATTAGAAACGGTTATTTTATGTATTTTTTTTGTATATTGTTGTATTGTTGTATTTTGTTGTTATTAGTTTAGGCCTTTCTGAATATTTAAAATATACTTTTAATAGTTAAAAATGTTTAGTTAATAATTTAAATATGTGTTAGTTACGCGAAACGGGTCAAAATCGAAATAGAATATTCAAAAGAGAAAAAATTAAATCAATTAGAGCTTTTGAGAAAAGATTAAATACTTTAAAATTGTCCATACTGTGTAATAAATAAATTAAAGTTGCTACAAAAAAATGACCATCGAACGAAAAAGAATAATGATGTTGGTACTAAAAATTTAAAACTAGAAAATGTAAGATTTTTCAAATATCACACGAATCAAAATGTACACTCATCGGCTGTGTATAATTGTATTATATTGTGTAATATTATTTTAGACAATGAAATAATTACATGATAACTACACAGATAGTTAAATCTTTATTTTTAAACAAAACACAATGAATAGAGGTTTTTCTTGGTTTCTTTATTTTAAGGCAGATCGAGATGAATGTACACATGCGTGAATTTTAATTATTAACATTATAAGTACACATTTACCCAAGACTTGGATTACAGAAAATGTTGAAATTGCATAAATATAAACCAGTTTAAAAGACATTATTAATCGTATTGAACAGAGTTTTAAAGATAAATCCAATTAAACACAGTTTATGATAATATTATATAAATATTAAGTCCACAAATAATAATATAATTTATATTTTATATCATATCGTATACATCCAAACATTATTACATTTATAACTCTAATGAGCTCGAATATAGTTGGTGTTTAATTATATCTCAGAAGAACGTTTTAAAATAATAATTATTGACAAAAGAGTTTAATTAAATGCTGTTATTTTTTAAAAGTAAAATATTTTTTACAGTGGGATTTAAAATTAAAATTAAGTACTTTAAAGGATTAAGTAAAAATAGCAAAAAAAAAAAAAAAAAAATGAAGAAACTTCTAAATATTTAATTTCTTTTATAAACTCATAACAGTAAACGATTTTAAGAAAACACAAAATAAAGGTTATCCATACTGCATGAATCATATAGGACTAATAAAAATATAATAAATCAAATTATTCTTCATTGACGTAATAAAAAAATACTGTTCCACAATGATAATTTAGTATATTATTTTAAATATCAATCGTTTTCAAATGTCGAATAAGATAAAGTGTAATGTAATTAAATTGTTCATTCTCTTTGTAAGTTGTATAACACAGGCTATTCGTTTAATACTCTGAGATTGAAAAAACGTGTATACGCTCAGAGAGTCCCTTTGTATACAGTGGCGTAGGAAGACTCAATAGTGCCCCTGGCAAACTTGGAAGAAAACGCCTTTTAACCAATTAAAAATTTGATAAGATGATATTTTTTTTAACTTTTAGTTTAACTAATTTTTTTTTTTTTTAAGAATAAAATTTATATTTATAAGTAATTATTACAGTGTAAATTTTAAACTTTGAGAATTTGTTATTCTCGCTTCAAGACTGCTGAATTCATCGATAATTTCTTCATATGATATTTCCTGTATGAACTCCCTAGTGCTATTTTTATAATTTCATCTCTAAATGTACAATTAGACAAAGTCTATTTATTTAAAAAATTATAGTGGAAAATGTTCGTTTTGAAGGTAAAGTAAAAATGTGAATCTTGTACAGTTTTGCGTTTCTTTGCAATTCGTAATCCTGATATACCCACAGTTCGCCATGCAGTTCGCCAGTTACACAACTGTTTGAACATATAAGCATGACTATATATACTGTTTAAATTGTATGGGAGCATTTTCAGTATTAATTATTCTCCTAATCAGTAATAAGAACATGTATTTCAATATTATTTTGATATTGAAGATTCAAATAGCATGTACATTTAATAGAGTTCATTACGCACGTTTAATTAGTAAAATTAATAAACAGCCGTAGATGTACCAAAAATATCAGACATACAAGATGTTTATTTTCATCTAAAACGTAAACTTTTCCATCGTCTAAAATTATTATTATGAATTTTATACATTTGAGGAATGTAATTTATACACAGTGATTCATGAATGTATTACTATTCGAATGATAAAAATATTGTAGATGTATAATTGTTTATTGATGGGTAAATGTGCTATGTAGGTATACCATAACATTGCTGCAATAGTTCGAATATACAAATAAAATTAAGAGTCCGATTTCAATATTTTTTTAAATTTATTATAATTTTTATCCTATTATTTAACTCAAACAATATTGTATTAGTTGCACTAACATAAGATACAATTATAAAAATTGTATCAATTGAGTTTCCAAGGAAAAGCATTGATCAATATTCAAATATATTTAACATATGTGATAAATATATAGGTTTTAATTTTTTAACTTCTTATAATTTAATAAAATATATATATATATATATATATATATGTTACAGTTAAAGTATTGAATTCCGTTATTTTATGAAATAACTTGGTAATTCATGAATTACTTACGAATGATAGTTAAAGTACAAAATCATAAATGAAAATTATACTTTAACTAGTTATTCTATACAATTTTAGTTTGATAAATGTTAAAGCAAAAAATACATTAAAAATTTTATAATATTTTATTTATTTTAAATTTAATTAATTATTTATTTGTGTATGCAAGGCTATTGTAGAAGCAAACGAACCAACACTGAACGCGTGTGATTGTAAGCCTATTGCTAAACTTTAAACCTTATCAATTTTATTGACAATCTTAATAATAATACATGTACAACGATAACTTTATCTACACGATAAACATACATGATCACTGCAGTCACCGACAACAAAAACGGCAGTTTTATTAAATTTATTGCTATGATGGACAGTAAAATAACGATATTGTACATTTATGAATATATCAATTTGACACATTAATGAAGTAATACCAGGGAATGTATAAAATAACAAGTTAAAGTATAAACTATATTCATTACTTACACGTTTTAGTTATTTTACAAATTATCTAGTTATTTCATAAACTAACTGATTCAATACTTTAACTATAACATACATATGTTATAACGAGAAGTTAAAGTGTAATTTAAAATCGAGCACGTACATCGCTGTTTAAAATAATCAACGATATAAGTACATACAGAATATATCCAATTTAACGTTGATAAATTAATAATTTTTAATTTTTTCATGCCATTTTTTAATTGTTTAATGTTATAATTAATAACATAAACATGCAAGGTTATGCTATAATAAGTAAAAATATTTTTTTAACATAGAAGAAAGAGGATACTACTAATAAAAATTTAATTCATATGACTGAATACATAGTTATTAATTTTAACAATCACTATAGGTAGGTCCGTAAAAGGTGATAATCATATTATAATACACTACAGAGACAATTATTAGACTTGATTATATATTTATGATAAAATAATTAGTTTTTTTAGTATTAAACCATTTACACGTATTTCTCTAATGTTAATATATAATGGATATGTGATTATATATTTTTTTCATATTATTTTTATGATTTATTTACATATTTCTATGTCTTGTACTAAATTATTTTTATTTATAGTTAAAAATGAACATTTCATTTTTACAATAATTAACCTAATAATTTTTTGCCTTCCATTAGCCCTATTTAGTAAAATATCCTGGTACCACCACTGTTCAGATCACATAAAATTGCTTGTTTCAAATATTTATGTCATTTGTATTACTTTTTATCCTTTATACTGTTACCTGCTTCTTATATAATTATATATTAATTATACGGATGTTTCTATTTAACTTATGAAATCATAACTTTACACCATATTATATTGTAAGTACCTAACCGAGAATATTTCGTTTTTTAACCAAAATATATCTTTTAAAACTCATATATATATATATAGATATCAATTATAATTTTTGAATAGTTGCATTTTGAGTAGATTGTGCTTATATAGGGAAGTATTGAATCTTTTCAAATTTACAAAATTATTATTACATTGAAAGTTCTGTTACACATCAAGCAACAACCGTGGCTATTGACTAAGTATACATGTGCCCAAATATTATTATATTTGGTCCAGATTATCTTCAAAAGTTAACGCTAAAAAAGAAATAAAATATAACAATAATAACTAGTAGTTTCCAAAATAATCAATTAGTATTGGTTGTTCTAAATATTTTCGGAATTAGTTTTTAAATATTCTATTACCATATATACTATTATTTTTGAAGTACTCGTATTTTATTCCCACTGCATAATTTATTTATCTTTTGACTGTGTGGCTAAATAAACAAGACTTTAATTAACCAATTTTGTTAATGACTAACAATTATGTATAAAATTTAGTGATGAATATGTTGTTATAGCAACCAAAAATTCATCAAAAATTGTATTGGTAATCATTTGACGAAAGTAATATGGAATACCTAACGATATTATTTCCACTCTGCATAGGACATTTTTTACGTCAATAGTTTGTGGTATATATGGACTAGTGTATCGCTTGTA